AACCAAGTCTAACCTGGTTTTAATATCAAAAACTTTATCGTGAGTGTTAAAATTTACTTCTCGATTTGTTTTTAGAATTTCTGCGTTGGCATTTCGACAACAATAGGAATTGCAGGGAGAACAAAATGACGTTTTTCTACCTTTCTTTTCTAATTTCCTATTTCTTTTTGTTACCTGCATTTCCCAGCCATCAGCGATTGATTAAAAATAGATACATCATTTATTTTCTGATAAAGAACGTTGTCGTACATATTTTTTATAATGATTAGACAAAAGCAACATGAAAATATTGTTTATTCATGTGTGATGGTATTGACTGCCGGTAAATTCATTGTATCTTGCGTTGGTCTTACTACATGTCCTTTTCGATACCACCACTTGTGTAAACGTTCTTGCATTTCTGGTAAACCAAGTAAACTTACAAATGGACAAATGAGAACAACGATATATGGTAAAAATCCTAAATATTCAAAAACAATGTCATTGAATATTGTTTCTGTCCAGAATATACTAATTGTTCCCAATACCGAGTATGGTAGCCACGTAAGGATATATAAAAGTGATATTGATACCAATTGTACGAGCATTTTCAAATTACTTTTCCATGTTCGTTGCATTTTCGACTTCATGTACAAAACACGTCCAATAAGAATTATATTGACAATTGTGAGAATGACGACTGGAAGAGTACAATTAAGAATCCAGTCAAATGTTCCCAAGAACGTCTCAAATTGATAACAAGCCCCTCCACAAACCAATTGTTCACGATTAAAATGATTTTCACATCGATAAATTAGTATGACACCAATGTACCATAGTACTGGATATATAATAGAAATGGTAATTGGTAAGTAGTGCAAGAGATATATATGTCTATTAATGGTACACCGATGAAATATTAACAGATAACGTTCAATTGATGCATGTGCCATAAGATATAGATCTATGACGTCAAACGAATATTTTTGTATGATCCAATATTTACAATAACTCTCACCCGATTGAGGATTGAAACCCATATGCAAAAACATCAATGTTAACGGCATTTCACTTATAGCCTAAGATATCAAACAAAAGCCTAAATTTTTGGAACGTCTGTGGTAAAACTTGTACTGACCTGAATGAAATTACATACGACCAAGCAGAAGATAATATGGTTACTCACTCGCTGTCGAACGTTTCGTTTACTAGCATAAAAGTAGAATAAGAACAATGAGCAACATAATGACGGGATAAAAAGAACCAATAGAAGAGTAAATTTAATCGTTACTTCAATAGACATAATGTGCAATCCGATGTAATTTATTTAATTATAAATGTACAACATTAAAAAGTAGATCGAAAAGATGCTTTTTTTCAGAAATAAATGATGTTTCTATTTTTATTCTGCCGTCGGAAGCCGAGAAATGAAAGCAACAAAAGCGATGGATAATTAGAAAAGAAAGTGAGAAAAATGCATTCGAAGGCCCAAGTCAAAAATATTTTAAGAAAAAAGAGCAGATAAAAACACGAAGACTTTCTAAGATTCACTATCTGAAGAGTCACTACCATGAGATTAAATTTTTACTGATGAACATGAAAACATATGAGTGTTTCTCAATTTGTCGCAACGCGGCTTCATCTTTTCCTTGTTGATCGAAACTTAAAACTAAAATGTCTATAGAGTGGGGCTAACGAGGGCCGGTCAACTATACTGAGGTAGTGTCGTGTCGGACTGATGCTATGAAGAATGCATGAACTTTTACTTACTGAATTCGGTTTCGAAGTAGAAACATTTTGTTACCAGAAGATAGCGGAGAAAAAACGGATTTCTTATATGTGCTTTCCATTGGATTCTATTGCGTCTGTATACAGAGAAACAATAATCTTTGCGCATGTGTCATATAGGATGGTGTTTTTTGGCGTTTCTTGTTAATTGCCCTACTAATTAAAGGAGTCCATTATCAGTCGATCATTATACACCATTCGATAGCCCTTTTCAAGAGCTACATGTCTGACGGTTCAAATTTGAAAAAGCTCATTATCGACTTTTTGGCCAAATGTCCGCTTGAATGCCCACTGTGTCTCAGACATACTGTAAGAAAAAGCCGCTTAAAGCTCCTACTCGTCGTGTGATAGGTAAAAGCTTCTCACAAAGTTGTTGATGAATTTGTAAATAAAAGTCAATGTCCACCGGAATTATTCGCTATTTTGAGTAATTTTAGCACAGAAGCCGTAGACAACGCTTTTAAGGTCGTATGGAGTACGTTAAATTTTTGTGCATCGCATAGTGTGAAAACGAAAATAACAAAGAACAAAAGTTGAAGAATTACAGAAGCAGTTGAAAGAACAGGCCAGTTTAGTTTAAATGAAGCAAATGGTTTATCGAACGTTGATAATAGCAAAGTCGAAGTACAAAAACCCTAAACCACCTAGTTTATATGTTAAATTCGTGAACACTTTTAACCCAGTCAGATAATCATAATTCCACGGGCGGAACATGTAATTTTTTTCGTATGGAAAACTCAACAGCCTTTTTTACTATTTATGCTTTTGCATAATTGCTTCTGCCCTAATACTATTTTGATGATATACAAAAATAATCGGTAGACTTCAGTTATCCGGAAGTGTCAGTCGACTAGTCTAGCTATGTTGAAGTCTTGACGGTCAAT